GTTACTGGTCTCACTTTATTTTCTTTTTGTTTTTTTCAAACTGAGCTCTTTTTGAGGGCGCTACTGGGTGGACCTATGCAGTGTTATGCAGAAAGTAGTGTGAATTTCAGCATAGGTACACCATCTGTATCTGAGCACATCCTTTTTCTTTCCCAGCATTTCTTCTTTACATCCTCTCAACTTCTTTCTTCCCTCTACCCTGTGTTTCCATTGGTTTCCATTGCTTAGTCCAGGATACCGTATCCTGAATCTTTTGGTAGCTTCCCCTCCTCCAAGTCAAAGGTGTTCCTTTCCTTTAGTGATCCCTCTGTGTTGTACCCGACGCATCTCATTCAAGGTTAAGATGATCTTTGTGCCTAAAACTGTATGTCTGTGTATACACACACAGGAATATATGGAAATGGAAGCTAAGAAGTTCCAATGTGAAACTAATTTCTGTACAGTAATGTAAATGGAAAACACTGTTATGCATGTTTTGAAGTAGCAGTGTACACTAGCCTCTTCTGAATACTTCACATATATAAAACGTATGTTATGTGTGTAACGCTACAAGAGAGAGCACTGAACTTGAAGGAATCGTCACTTGACAGTGTAGGAGTGCAGGCAGGGTTAGTAAGCAATGAGATCCCAGGACGTGGGACCACTCAAGACAGGGTGGAATTGTGAAGGGCCTGTAAAGTATAAGAGGAAACCTCAGTCCCTTTTTTAGTTGTATTCTGAGGCTGAATTCTGATCCACAGTATCTCCTGTGCAGCTTTATTGAATCCAGTTCTTGAAAGTGGTAGGCTTTAATAATGACCGACTGTGTGAGTTTTCATCATCCTCTCCTATTCTGCCTAAGGATTGTCTGCCTTGTCTTTCTGTGTACTCTTTCTAGTAGATGGTACGTTTAAATAGCAGGTCTGAACTGAAGTGTGGAAGATGCTCGAGCTAATCAAACATTGTGAGGTATCTCTGCAGGTGCTTTATAGCTGTAGCATGGAGATGATAAAGATTTAATTGTCTGTGTGTGTAACAAGAACAGGAAATGACACAAAGGCAGTTCATTTTCTGAGAGAATGCAGTGGGAACAGAGGCTGCAGCAGCCTTAATTAGATTTTCAGTTAAACATTTTTAGCAAGGATGGGAAGTTCAGCTAATTGAATCTGTTCTAATTTCCACCTTCCTGTTTGTCATTCTTGTTCTTCATTTTGGGAGATATCTCAAGAAACAGCTCTCATTCTTCTCTGCTGATTACAGTATGTGACTACAGATGGCAGGCAACATGCTGATGTGCAGGGTAGGTACACGGGAGCCATAGGAGCTCCCACCTGTCTTCATTAAAATGAATCTGAACTGGATGCGCTCCAGTGACTTATGACTGCCTTCCCTTTCCACAATCCTCCCAAACTTTGTCCATTTTAATACAAGAATAAGTCTAGTGTATGTTAGTAGTGCCTCAAATCTTTTATGCGTTGTTGTATTAAACAGTGGAAAGTCTAAAGGAAATGTAATGTTCTGCCCTGAAGAGATGCAGGTCTAAATAACTGGGACTCTTTAGCATCCCTGCAATTAGTACTGTACACTGCTGTGACACACCCTCCACTCCCGTGTTTGTGGCTGATTGAGTACCAGTTAATGCACAGGGACCTTGCTTTGATCTGCTAGTTTCAAAGATTGAGTTCAGCCGCAGAGAGTGGTTGTGATGATTTTTTTGTTTATTTGTTTGTTTTTAAATGAGAAAGTACGTCCAAGTCTCAATGTAAAAGTTAGCGCTGAAGGGCACTTTGTGTGCGGTATTGCTCTGCCGCTTCTCTAAACATCTGCAATGTCCTATCACAATTTACTTGCGTAATATACATGTTCTAGGTGTGGGCAAAGCTGGGAGTAGATACCTAGAAGGTAGCCAGTTCTGTACTGGCTAAAGGCTTATTGTCTGAACACTGGCATAGATGTTTTGACAGTTTTTGTAGAAAAGGATGATAGAGCGCTCTGAGGAAAAGTTTCCCAGATGTTCCATAGTTCAAGCTGTTTTGGATACTAAACTCACAGCTTTTAAAGGAGTCCTTCTAGCTGAAACTATTTCAGAAATACTAAAGAAAGGAGCTTCTAAAAAAATGGGCTTTGTGCCTGCCTCTTTTTCAGAATATGCTAAATGAAGCGAATGCTTAGCTTTTACTTAGAAGCCTATTTTGAGAAACACATTTAGTCTGCTTCAGGTTCTTTAAAAATATGTGTAATTCAGAATTGCTAAAAAAGTTGCTTACGGTGTTATGCCAAATGGCCTTTTACAAATTCCCGTAACTTAGGAGGAAGGTACAAATATGAAAAACCTGCAGATGCTCAAGGGATCTTTGCCAAGTACAGAAGCTTACTAAATTGCTTCATGCCATGCTTGTGACTTTAAAGTCCTTAATTTGTCATTAAAGAAAGTATTTGCATTTTGAAGAGCAATTAGCAGTTGTGTGCCCCTTCAGGATAGCTTGTGATTTGTGTGTCCTGTTGGTGGGGGGGTGGAGAGGAAGGAATACCAACTGAGCATATCGACCTAAAAAAGAGTCGATTTTTTTACAGAGTGGATATTTAGTCCCCTCTGCAAGTAGGATCCACTGAAGGAGTTTCAAGCTGGCTTCCCCATAGTTGAGATGACCATTGCAACCGGTTTGGTAATCTCAGCTTTATCTTTTTAAAAAGAAAATTCAGATAATAGACTACCAGTTTTTGAAGGAGGTCATCAGATTGTGGGCGGCCTGTGACAAAGCATGACTTGAGGTAGCTTTGGCAATAGGTCTGAACCACAAACTGCAATAGCCGCTACTGTTCCAAGGTAGGGCTTCTCCTCAGCTAGTTACGAAGGGAGGATTTGTGAGAGGAGAGGGCTAGTCTACTGCCCTTGCTTTCATTTGTGTCAGAACCTAAACTCAAGCCTTCAAAATTAAGCACGTGGCAGAGCTAGTCAAAACGTACGTTTTTTTTCATACACTTTTCATACACTCATACTCAGCAAATAAGCAATTTATCATTGGGTCAACCAAAACTAAGTGAATTCAGATCAAATTCAGCTCACATAAGTAATATCAAAAAAGGGTTTATTTCAATATTTTTAGAATTTTAAACATTTTTGATTGCTTTGAAAAGAAAGGATTTTGGCTGTGTATTTGTTTGAATGCTTTGAGACTTAACAAAGAAAAATACTGCAAATGGAACGTGTTAGTGCTTTTTGGTTTCCAGTTGGGTAAGAAAAGACTAAACCGGTTGTCTTCTGTTCGTTTTTGCCTCCCATACACTTGTTCTGTGGGGAGGGAATTCATGCAGGTGATTCCTTGTGGTGCCATCCAGACCGTTGGAGAGCTAAGACTCTTAAGGTCTGGCACAGAATGGTTTGCCTTCAGGAAGGATGTCTGTACAAATACAAAATGGACTCTGTTTGTGCAAGTGAGTGCCTGTTATAACAGGTGACCTAATAAAATATTGCAAATGTCTTGGAAACTGTATAGCCAGTGGCAAAGACCACTTTGCTTGTTCCTTTCAGCTTAAATAGAGAAATGCAGTAGGATTGTCAGCTCTGATAGGCCCCAAAACTGAACTCATTTTTTTGTTGGATTACAGAAATCAAAAGTACTGGGATGATGTTGGTTTATGTGTTTAGTATGAATGTGAAAGGTTCACACCTTTTGAATGACAGAACCAGGAGAAGTCTTGTGTAAAGTAAGATATCAGGATTATGGCAGAGTCTGTCTGGAACAAGAAGGCAGATGAAGAGAAAAGTGATAGAGCAGGTTGCTGCTGTGAGCACAGGTAAGGATGTGGTGAAAGTTTCTGTCCCTAATATAATTTGTGTTAGTAACATTTTAATTACTACCTAACATACTAGCAAAGTTATTTGCTGCCTAAAGTGTTAGCAAAGTTACTACCTTGAAGTAGCATTCACCTGGAGTCCTGCTAGCTATTCTACGTTCTTATCTCAGTGACGACTAACAAGAAAACTCAGTGCAACGTTAGATAATCCTTGATGCTGTCTTGTGCCATTTATATAACTCTGTTCTGACCCTGTAATCAAAACTCTTACTGTTTGCTTTTTTAGATTAAATAGATGTGCTAACCTCATAACTTGCCTGATGCTGAGCGAATCTAGCAGATGCTGGAAGCACAGCATAGGTAATATGCATAAGGAGCCTGAAATTGGACCTGGACTGAGTATCTCTGATCGGGAAGGAGTGTGCTACCAACCAGGAAGGTGCACTTAAAGGTTTTCTTGTTGCCAGATATTCTCTGGATGCTGCAACCTTTCTCTGATAAGGGGGAAGGAATAATGAGAGGTCACAGCCCCAGGCATTGTTTGGTTCAGTCAACAGAGGAAAATTCCATGCCTGAGCACTGAGTCAAAAGCATCTAAAAATACTATTCTAATCAGTTATTTATTTTAATATGCAAAAACTTGTGTTATTCTGTGATCAATGTACATTTGTCTTTGTCTAAACCATTTATAGTTGGGGGGAGCTGACATGAGAGGACAGACTATACTGTAGAAGAGGCAATAGAGTAAAACTTGGCCAACAGAAAATGGAATCTGTAACCACTTTTCTGGCAGCCAGAATATCAAACAGACGGCAAAAGACTGAAGTGTAGTGCTTACCGGACCGAGTTGAAGGACCACCAGAGTCATATGCAGATCCAGTCATTGTGCTGTGCACATTTGTGCTCATACAGAGAGCTAACAGTTGGACAAGTGTTCTGTGAAAATCTTCCTCAATTAAAGGCCATTCTTAAAAATAAAATGTGAAGAATTATACCAGCTTTCTTAAGAGGGAAAAAGTGCTTCTGAGAATTGTCAAGTTTTCCTTGATTATAGTATGCAAGCATGATCTTGCTGAAAGTGATACGGCCTTTCTGGACCTTTTTTTTGTTTTCTTGTGAATGCTGATTTTTAGTGCCATTGTTCTCTCTCTTTCTCTCTCTCTCTCTTTCTCTCTCTCTCTCTCTTTCTCTTTTTTTTTTTTTTCCTTCCCATCCTTCTTCAGGGAGAAGTGTCTCCTTCCTCTCCAACTGGCTCTGGAATCGAAGAGTGTGAAGCTGGCCCAGCAGGCTCTAGCAGGGATGCAGGTATGACTTGAGTGCGGGATATGTTAGTAGGTGGTGGGTGGCATAGTAGAAAGCTCTTGTACCTTTGGCATGTCAAGGAAATCTGAGCTTTTCTTCTGAGAAGTGCAGCAGAAAAAGCCTCTGGCCCTCAATAGTGGACCTTACAGTAGTGTTCGTGTTTCTGTGGTATTGTTCAGGAGTTAGAGTACAAGTAAAGGCTGCTGAGTCTGTAGAAGCTAAAAATAGTCTGTGAACAGGTGGGAGTTCCTGGCTTTGCATATTGTGATGGAGGTAGAGAGGTGCTCTTCCTCATGGGGTGCCGTGCTCTTGATGGGGACATATATCTCTCTCTCAGTAAGACATGCCACGGCTAAACTTCCTAGAAACTAAACTGAGTGAAGTCTTACTGGTTTCTTTGATTAGATGGGAGGGCCGCAGTGCTTGGAAGATGGTTAATAAAAGGTCTGGGAGCTGCCTGCTGCATGTGTGGGCATTTTCCAGGGTTTTTTTTTGCGTACAGAAAAGGAACACCATCTGATTAGAAAGCTTATGAAATTGCAAAAGGAAACAGTGGTGCAACACAGTCAGTGAAGAAAAGTCTGTCTTTTGTTTGACAGTAGAAAAACAAAAGACGTTTACCTTTCTTTTAATGGGGCAAATGAATATGTAGCGGTAAATGCCTGTCACGAGGGGGATGTTAGTTGTGGAAAAGGCGTATGCTGCTGGTGGGTTCATTGCATGCCAAAAAGAAAAACGTTTTTCCAAAAATTTTTGGAATTTTCTCTTTTCCAGAAAAAAATGCCTCCCTCAAATGGCAAGTGTGAGGTTTTTGAGGGAATGTAAGGACATGAGTGGATCATTCAAATTCACTTAAGTCAGCACATGAGATGTCAGACATTAGGTTAAAAAGAGTGCCCCATTCTGGGGCACTACGTGAGGGAGAAGCAGTGGTAGGAGGCCCTAGGTAGGGGAAAATGTGTAGCTTCTGAGGGCTTCTGTCCCAGAACAACAATGAAGTCAGGGCCATTGTGTTTTAAGTTTGAGAGTCATAGGGACCTTGGCACAGGCAGTAAATTGGGTGGAAATCTCGAGCAGAAGAATTGATATTTCTGACTTCTTCAGTCATTAGACCAGAGCTTGCTTTCTGCATTTTAGAGCTAGAAGCTGATTTAAAGAGTGTGGTGTAGGGTGTGTGGGGGTTTTTGCAGGGGCGGGGTGGATGTTTGTTTTAAGTAAAAGTAACAGCAGGCCAGTGGGACTTGGAACATATGTCTGCTCTTGCACCAATTCAGCAACAGAACAAATTATAGGTTGGTGGTCAGCCAAACATAGTGGAGGAGTTATGAGTCAACCACTGTCCACTGTAGCACGGCTTCCTTGGGAACACTCAGTCAAGATAAAATTTACTACCTTTTTACTCTTCTAATTTACTACGCATGTACTTGAGTTTTATAAGAAATGGAATTAAGCTGCAGACTTGCAGCATGGTACCTTAAATAACAGCATTACCTGCTATCTAGAAGCCTAAAAAAGAAAACCAGGCAACAGTAGAGTCCTTCATCTGCATTTCTGATCTGTGAGGTTTTATGAAAAATTTAAAAAAAACAAACAACTGATGCTATGAGAAAAGATTAAAAATAGGATAAAAGACAAAAGTGAGATGAAATATAACTTGGATTGACCAAAATAGGTAATACCAGACTAAAGAGATTCTCTTTTACATAGAATAACACATTTTTTGTGTAAAGCGAGTTAATTGTCATCAGGCTGGGCACTGATAAAACACTTCAGGTAATGCTATGTGAGAAATTCTTTAAAAGTTAAGAAAATATGAACTAAGAATGAGTCAATGAAATGTGCTGCAGGCTTAAAGTTGTGAAGCAGCATCAGTAAAAAAATATTGCAGAATGTACAGGGTGAAGTGGACTGCTCAAAGTCTGGAGTGATAAAACTGAGACAGGATAAGGTCATGTTCCTGGAAACTAAGACGAGATGATTTTGCTCTATGGAGGGGGTTTCTAAGATGGCTGGAGATGGAAAAAGACTTAGGTGGGTGTATCTACTGCAGGGTGACTGTCACTAATAATAGCATGCAGCCCTGAAGCCATGAATGTGGTTGTAGAACCGTGAGGAAATGGTGCCAATGAGCATGGCCCTGTGAGGGTGTTATCTATACATGCTTCTGATTCAGTTCTTTATTCTTCTGTAACGGCACACTGAAAACAATGTGGAAAAGAACTATTAAGGTGTTTGAGACAGAGTGTCTGCCTTGCTAGAGACCATTAATAGAGTGTGGCTTGTTCAGCTCAGCGAATAAAAGCAAGAGGCATGACTATTCTTTGGGAGAAAAAAAAAAACTTGCAGGTAAACTATGGGGGAAACAATCAGGAAAAGTAGTAAGTAGTGCTTTGTATTGGTAGATGACAATCAGTGAAAGAGTTTATGGGCATGAACTGCCTGTAAATAAATTGAGGCTGGAATGTTAGAGGAAGTTTTTTAGAAACATGTTCTTTGTGGGAGAAGCGTGGAAAATAACTGAAATCTGCTCAGCTCAGGGAGGTGAGACCGTGGCATGGTGAGCTCTGGTAAGAGATGCTGTCCATCAGTCATGTGTTCAAGAGTGAAAATCGATGCCAATAAAAACCTAGTGACACTCTCTTAGATTCAGCTAATGCTTTCATGCCAGTTCCTTAAGATAATCTTCAGTCTAACATAGCTTGTTGGGAGATATATGTGACACTGGCTTTTTCCAGGCAAAGGGAATCTGATCAGTCTAAAAAATTCAGTTTAAGTTCAGTCTGTATTGAGCCCTCCCTCCCAGACACGTTTGTGGTCCTCACACTAGTCACTTATTAACAGTACTCGTCCTTCTGAGGACCTGATGACATCCGTGATTAGTCAGCTTCTGAGTAACACAAGACTGCATACTGTCCATGATCAAAAATGCCGCCTCCAGCTACCTGCCAGGCAGGGTATCTGCTAGCACTAGTTTGAGTTCAGGATCCTAGCGTGAGGTTTTGGGACTGCTCCCCATACACACACTTCTAAAATTTTGAGAGGTTTTGCTGAGGCCGTTGTTTGGGATCGTTTGCAATCTCCCACATTGGTTTCCAAAGACTACTTTCTTGTGGACTCGGAAATAAATGAGAGGTTAGGGTGGGGAAAGAGAATGCCAGAATGGCAGATGATTCAGAAGCTGTTAACTATCTCTTTATCAGGGCACAAATTCCCCAAAATAAATATTTAACTCTGAAATTCCTACATAGCATCTAACCAGTGTGGTGCCAAGCACTATTAGCTTGAGGTGTGGTATTTTGTGGTGGAGTTAGGCAGAGGCAGTTTTGTCTCAGCCCATCTGTTTCCATTCTCTCTCTGCAGAAGCTGCTGTCTGATGAGAGGTTTGTATCCGTGGAAACAGACTCCGATGAGAAGCAGTTGCTAAATCAGATGCTGAATGCTGTCAAAGTGACTCCTTCGCTCAACGAAGACCTGCAGGTTGAAGTGATGAAGGTTAGTGTTTCACACACGTCAGTGCTTGCAAAAGAGTTTGACTGAGTGCTGGGGTTTTGCGTACAAATTAGCTGTTGCCTTAGAAATCTTCAGCTTGGGACCATATTTGATTCTCTCCTTCCTGTTGGTGGATATCAGCTGTTTTCTTTGCTGTTTGGCTTGTATTTCCTCAGGTTAAATAGGACATAGTTTATATATAGAATCAGTAACCTGGGAGTCCCAGTTTTAGCAGACTGAAGTAGGGCAAACCATTTACTCCACTGGAGCGCACAGATGGGTAACTTTAGGTTGGGAAGTTTGTGTTTGGTATTGAGCATGAGCGCTCATGAATTGGGTTACACAACCTTGAATTATGTGTGCACAACTGTGTGCATAGGTGTTCGGGTGTAAACTTTGTACTTGAGGGTGTGTTGTGCTATAGCTGATCACTGGTAGAAATTCATTTGGAACAAACCTCGTGGTTTTTTTTCCATGTTCACTATACCTAGTACTGTGTTTGGGCCTACTTATTTGACTGTCCTTTGCTTCTGCATGTGTAGATCAGATATTTTACTACTTTCTTGTGCCTGGTATCCTTGTCTTGATGAATATATGTTGCCCGCTCTGAAACTGCTCTGTATTGGTCAGAGATGTAAATCATTTCCTTTCCCGATTTTTGGCTCAAAGTCTATGAAAGCCTCTTTGCCGTGACCCTGACACTGCTTGGGTGCAGCACACGTTTTGCACCAGAACATTCAAAAGATTGAGCCCAGCAGCAGGCAGAAGGGATGAGTATTTGTGTGTGAACTGATCCCCACTTTACAAGAGCAGACCTTTGCCCCTGTACAGGCATTACTGGTGACAGAGATCTGCATCACCAACCCAGCATGCCTCTTTCCTGCCTCATTTGTCTCCAGAATGGGAGAAGACAGGCACGGAGCTAAAAATGAGCACTGCTAAACCAACGGGCTCTCTTGGTACAGAGGAATTCTTTGCTAGTCTTTTTCAGCCTCCTGAGCGTTCCGGGTTCAGAATCGGCATGTGCCATGTTTCTGTGAAAACTGTGACATGCGTTTGTAACAAATTGTCCCTGACACTGAGAAGAAAATGAACACTATATTTCACCAGGATTATCAGTGAATATCTTACCTCAAGTTGTTTTGATATGTAAGAAGTAAAAAAGTATAAAAATGAACCCAAAAACTAAAATTTGATTTGTGCTAGATTTTTTTTATCATATTCAGTTTGACTCCAGTTTAGGGCAAAAGAGAAAGGAGAACATTCTTGTCAACAATGCACTGAGTGAAATTTTGATGTAGAAATGCTTTTTTTAAAATTCTAGTTAAAAGGATGGCAGAATTGGGTGTTGGGTAGAATTCAATCTGTTCTCTTTACATTCTGAGAACATGCAAAACTTCTGTTTTAATTTAAATATTTGAAGCTGGTGAGAGGGCCAAAAATAGGGCAGTTAAAACTCAAGAGGCATTAAATTTGAGCCTTACCTAAAAGCCCATCCAAGCAGGGATCTTTTTACATTGTAACCTGAAGGTTACAGATGCAATTGCAACACTTGAAAGTGCTGTAGATAACTTAGCTCTGGCTGAGCGGTGTTAAAGCCTCTGAGGGGGTTTCAAGCAGGTGAGCAGTGCATTCATTTCCCTGGATCTGCTAAAGTGTGGCCTCAAGGCAGCATATGATTGTGCACTACGTTGGGTTATTCCATCCAGAGTAGGTTAAATACATCTTTATCCAGTAGAGGTATTAGACCTCCTGAATGTTAGCAAACTTGTGTGAAGCTAGGTCAGCAGTGATAACTGCTGCACAGTTGCACCAAACTCGCAAGTGTTAGAAATGCAGTTATCAAAGGTTCCCCAAAAGCTTTTAGTTATGTGAAATAGGAGTGAAAAATAGAGGGTGCAGGAGTGCAGTCTTCACTGAGAGTTGCTGCCGTATGAACTCCTAAATCACTTGCATGCTTTTTTGAGAATCCTGTCCAAAAAATCTCCTGTTGTTCCTAATGAGCGTCTACCAGAAATTCACACTTCAGTTTGCCCAAAGCGAATGTTTTGAGTGTTTGTTTTAATGGTTGTCATCCACCTGTGTTGCAGATGTGAGTGTGAAGAGATTTTGACTAGCTGAGGGGAGCATTCTGCAAAGCTTTCATTCAGGTGACTGCAAGTTGGGATTAGTGTTGAAAGAGGGAAGGAGGGCGTAAGACATGAGTGCACTGTTGCATTGTTTAATGTGCTTTCGGAAACAGTTAAATATTATTATAAAAGGGCTGAAGGTCATCGTTAGACTGAAATGGAGCAGAATAACTGCAGTGCTTGCTGTAAATGAATGGAGAGGAGTGCTAGCTGGGTCTCTTGCACTTCACTGGAGAAACGGAGCAGTTGGGGCCACTTCTATGAAAGTGGAACAGCACTAATTTATGGCCAGGTACCTAATCCTCCTTGTTTTTAAGGGTGAGAGCCATGACATACTCCTTTATTCCCAGAATGGAGGATCACAAAAACAGCACTTTGACAGTGTCCAGACTTAAGGGCTAGGGTGGGGGCCAGTGCTGGAATGCATCCTGGGCAGCTGGGGAAGCTTTGTACTGCCCAAGTAGAGCTGTCAAGATGGACTCAAAGCCTTCCTCTTTCATAATATCTGTTGGCTGTGATAGGTGACGTACCTCTTATCCTTTCTATAAACTTTACTTAAAAGAGGAATGTTACTTGTTGTAATAAGCAAATATTAAATTAAACTTTGCGCTAGGGATTGCTGGCAGTACCGTTAGATCTTCTGAATATCAGTTGTGGATTGCATCTTCCCCTTAGCTTTGTTCCACATGGACTGATTCTGTGAGGAAATGTCCCCCTTAAATTTCCAGGGAAGTGATGCTTTGAATTCCTTGTTTAAGAGACCCCACAACGTCAGTGTGACGAAGCACTGGCCAGTTCTTAGGTGAACAGCAGCTGAAGACTCTGATCTTTCCAGTGAGGAAGAGGGAAAGCCTGTGATTTCTCTGTGACCTGAATGACTGCCTACCACAAACACAGCACTAGCTGCATTTGATTGCCCACACGTACCCCCCAGCGCCTTCTCCTTAATAAATTTTGTATTCAGACTTGCATGTTATTAGTATTGTAGTATTTCTTCAGACTGTCTCAACACCTATGCCATCTGCGTGTTCTCTGTACCTCTAACACATTTCATGACAGAGATTTGTTAGTGTTTTCACACTGGGGACTAAACTGGGGTTACTTAGGTGCTTTTACTCGTGTGAAAGGATACTGAGAAGCCAGGCAATCCAGGAACTGTAAGCAGAGGCAGCAGTGTATCTGACGCAGGGCTACCTTAGCATTCACCTTGCTGTTGCCATGATCACACACAGTGCTATCACACTGAAACGCCTCCTAATGTATGTAATGTCAGTTTGTGCTTTTATGCTCGGCTGGCTGCGTCAAGGGAGTGGAAAATCAAACAATCATTCAGTGACTTGTTGATCTCCCTGTAATACATCAGTAGCTTAATCGCAATTTCAAATGGAATAATCTAAATATTTTTATTTGTACACTTACATCACAATATCCATTTAAGTTGGGAAGGAAGATGTACAGAGATCACTAATCAAATTTCTTATTTTATCAGTGATGCTCTGTTTATACAACTGCAGATTTATAGAAAAAGTAAAGGATGAGTTAATTCAGTGTTTAACTTAAACCTATGCAGTCATACAATATGGCTGTCCCAGGAGTGGGAAGAATTTTGTTGTGTGATGTGGGACCAAATTAAAATAGAGTGTAATGTAAAGATGTATCTTGTGCTGGGGAGTAGGGACTTTTTTGTTGGCCTTAGCACTAGAAGAGCAAGGAAGGAGATTGGGATACTGGACAAGCTCTTCATTAACTGAAGATGATCATCATGGGTTTGGTCTTGTTTTGGGTGGGATTTTTTTTATTTTTTTGAATTCTTTCCTGATCTGACACTTTTAAATCTTGCTTCAGATACTTTTAAAAGTGGCTGAAGTTTTTTTGCTTCATGCAATCAGTCCTCTTTGCTTGCAGAAGCGCATATGGTGTTGACAAAAGCACTTTCAGATAAGGTCAGATCAGAAGTGGAAAAGGAAGCTAATCTATAACTGAGCATTTTATTTTTTCCTCTGATTTTTGTAATTTGTACACTGTAACCCGGACTCTCTTTCCTGGAGGAACTAGAATTTAGCTTGGAGCATAACTCTGGTGCTAAAGCAAGTGAAACCAAATATGAAGTAAGTGGGTAGGATGTGAAGAATCCAAAATCACAAGGACTTTTTTTTTTCCTCTTCTTACCAATGTTATGGTGACTTTCATTTGTAAATGGACAACCTTCTTAATAATGCAGTACCTCTCTCTATCTTTTTATTTGTCTCTGGTAGTGTTATTCTCAAGTAACACAAAGAAAAAAATGAGTTTAATGAGCAATTTAAAATTAGTAGAGGAGACCTCACTCAGAAGTCAGCTCTTCAGATGAGCTGGATACACTGTCATGAATGTAACTGTCATTGGCAGTAAACAAGCCCTTATTAGAAAGGCGTGATTAGCATTTACAATTTGCCTTTTTCCTGTTTCCTTTTGTTCTCTTTAGTTACGGACAAAATCATGTCACGTAACCCAATGCATGTCAGTTCAATGTGTGCCCAGATTTTCCAAGATCTTCAGTGGGAAGTTAGATACACAGAAACAGAAGGTGAAATGGACATTTAGAGACAGATATTTCCAAGCAAAAATGAGAATAACGACCACTTCTGAAGGAAACTCAGTTGTCCTATTTGGTGAGCTTTTTAATATTTGGTCTTTATTTTACTATTTTAATTAATAGTGTTATGATATGCTGGGCGTAGGCTATGAGTATATATTGCAGTTCTATCAGTGGGGCTTTCTATCTTTTTTTCTCGTAGGCTCTGAGAAGATTCATTTACATGGTCTTTGTGGCTACTCTACTCTGCTGTTTTTTGAAATGGGTTTGAGTTTTCTCTGGAAGAAAAATATATTCTT